AAAATGAAACCTATACACTTACAGAATTACCACCAGGAAAACATGCAGTAGGCAGCAAATGGATGTTAAAGACAAAATATGATGAAACTGGTAAAAATATAAAATACAAAGCACGCTTAGTAGCCAAAGGATTTACTCAAAAATACGGCAGTGATTATGATGAAACATTTTCACCAGTAGTGAAACACACTACGATAAGAGTTTTCTTAGCATGGGCAGCGTATAATAATGCCAAGGTACATCAACTCGCTGTTAAAACAACTTTTTTTGTATGGCAACTTAAATGAAGAAATATATATGGAACAACCCGAAGGATTCGTGTTTCCGGAAGAAAGACATAAAGTTTGTAAATTACAGAAGTCTATTTATGGTCTCAAACAAGCAGCTAGGTGCTGGAATGCAGAAATTGAAAATACATTGAAGAATCTTGGGTTCAGTCAAAGCAAAAGCAGATCCGTGTCTTTTCACAAAAGTGGTTCGTGATAAAAGAATTAATTTAATAGTGTACGCTGATGACATCCTAATAAGTTCTACAGAAGAAGGACTAATTCTTCAAACAATAAATATTTAAAGAACTTTTACCAAACCCCAATAATGCTCTGGTGAAGCTAAATATTTCTTAGGCATGGAAATAAATCGCAAGCAAGATGGAAGTTATCTCTTTATCACGGAAAAATAAATAAATCAATTTGTCAAGCAATTTCAACTTGAAGAAGCGAAACCCGCTAGCACACCAATGGAAACTATTATAACCTAAACAAGGAAGAAATCTCTTAACTTCAAATGATAAATTTCGCCAAGCTATTGGAAGTCTTTTGTATATTGTCTATCACAAGACCAATATCACAGCTTCAACTCACATACTCCGCAGAAGGTGTAATAATCCACATCAAAAGGATTGGAATGCTGTTAAAGAATCATTAGATACTTAAACACGACAAAGAATCTATCCTTACAAATTTTCGTCGAGTGAAGAACCTAATATTACAGTTTATTCAGATGAAAATTGGGGACAAGATTTGAAGATAGAAAATCTATATCAGGAAGTTTTATTAGGAAAAAACTGTATTTCGTGGTTTTCAAGAAACAAACTTGTGTTTCTTTATCCTCGCAGAAGCTGAATATGTTGCACTATCGCAAGCTACGCAAGAACTATTATGGCTAGTAAAATTAACAAAAGATTTCAATCTACCCCAAACTCTACCGATAAAGGTATTTGAAGATAATCAGTCTACTATAAGACTTGTAGATCTGAAAAATTCAGTTGGCGCACAAAACATATTGATACAAAAGTTCATCATATACGCGACTTGAATAACAAAGAATAGTAAAACTTGCTTATCTTTCGACAGAGCAAATGGTTGCTGATTATGACTAAACCATTTTCCTAAAAGCTAAATTCCAGTTTTTGCAGAAATGAATAGCAATTGGTATGAGTTTCATTAGCAAAACAGTGGCAATGTTAGCATAAATTTAGGTATTTTGCATAATGAAACTCGAAAGGCATACGAAACGAACGTGCGCCAAGACATATATTGGCAAGAGAAAGTAAAGTTCGTGTGCAATGCAGTATATTTGATTTTCACCCTAGTTACTTGTACCTGGCCAAAGGTCTAATACAGTTAGTACTTTCTCTTTTCAGGTACGGTGTCGAAGTATGTTCGTGTTTCTTTTTTCTTATTGCCTAAAATAGGTAAGCCTGATATTTAGGACTGATGATGATTCTATGTAAGTTATTCTTTTCATTACTTCGTGTTTTATTCCGTGAGATTTATTTTGTATCTTAAGGAAGCTTATTTTATAAATAAAGATTCGTAGTTAATCCTTACTATGTTCTTTAACAACTGCTTAGGCACTTACTCATACGTTCGTCTAAGCACCAACATCAGTTGACAATGAGGAATCGAAGAAAGAAAATTATATAAAAGGAAATGGCTCTCTATCGAAAAAAGATTAAAAAGACAAAATATGAATATAAGATGAAGCATTTTTTGGATAATAAAGACTACTATGATTGCTACTTTCGATCGGCAACACGTAAATCTAGACCTTCCCAACGTGATTATAAGGAAAGATGAGCAGAGTACTGATGAATTTTCTGATGTTATTAGGGATTATTTTATGGAAAACTTTGATTGTGGAAATCCTGAGGATGGTATTGTTAAAGATGAACTTTTAACATCTCCAAACTGTGGTGCTGATGATGTTTTATTTTCTATAGATGAGATTCGTTATGTTGTGGGAAAATTGAGAAATAAAAGTGCTCCTGGAATTGACTGTATACATGCTGTTATGGTTAAATGTTTATTTAAAAATTTTGAGAAATTTTTCGTTCTACTTTATAATAAATGTTTTTAGTTTGTCGATTTTTCCGGGAGTGTGGAAGATCTCAAGAGTAATATTCATTCCAAAGGGTGACCAGGCAGTTAGACCTATTTGTTTATTGAAATTCTTTGGAAAAGTTCTGGACAAATTGCTTACCAATAGGTTATATCATTTTTTCTTGGAGAATAATTTTATTTCAAATAGACAGTTCGGTTTTGTTTCGGGAAGGTCAACAAATGATGCACTTTATGATTTAACAAACACTATAGTTCAAAAGAAGAAAGATTTTCATGTGATAATTGTTTCTTTCGACGTTTCAAAGGCTTTTGATTCTGTTATATGGAATTCATTGCTCTCCACCCTTGAGAATTTTAAAATACCTAAAAATATTTTTGCAATTTTGTTTTTGTGTAATTATTTAAAACATAACAGAAAGGTTGTATTTTCTTATGATGCTGATTTTAAAATTTTTTAAAAATGTGTATAAAGGATGCCCTCAGGGCTCGCCTAGTGCTCCGCTGCTCTGGAGCGCCGTTATTTTTAAGTTATTAAATGTTTCTCTTCCTGAATACGTAAATGTGATCTGCTATGCAGACGATATTTTATATGTAATATATGATGTATCTTTAGAAAAATTAGAACAGCGTTTTCAACTGGTGAGTGATATTCTAAAGAACTGGGCCGAGGATGAGAAGTTGATTTTTAATTTGCGAAAGACTTCATATATGTTTTTCCCTAGGGCCGGCAAAAATACTAGACCACCCAGGCTAAGATTTTATGGTACCCTGTTGAAAAGAGTAGATCACATGAAATATTTGGGTGTAATTATAGATGATAAATTAAATTTCGAACTTCATTTTAAAGAAATTCAGAAGAAATCTGATGCAATTTTATTATTTTATAAAAGAAATTTTCCAAAAAAAAGTATTGATTACTAAAAGAAATATACTCAGAATGATTTATAATGCTGTTATCATACCTATAATAATGTATGGAATAGGTAGTTGGGGCTCTAGGGCGGCGGAACTCCAAAGAATAAGGAATAAGTTAATAACAATTCAGCGGCCCTGGCTTCTGTCACTGACTAGGTGTTTCAAAACTACTCCATCTGAAATTCTCTGCATCTTGGCCGGCACACCGCCTCTTTCTATATTTTATAGGTATTATTACGATAAATTTTTTTATTATCTACTAATAAGATTGATTTTATTCATTATGAGGAATTTTTTGCTTGTTGTACTGCTTTTTTATAACTTGGATCCTTATTGTATACACCCTGCTAAAAGAGTTATTATTGATTATGAATTTCATTTTGTTGAATTTGGTGAAATTGACATTTTTACAGATGGTTCTGGAATCGATGGTAAGATAGGTTTTTCTTATGTTGTATATTACTATGGTACTGAAATTTACAATGATAAAATTAAATTGGAAAATTTTAATTCAGTGTTCCAGGCAGAATTGGACAGCTATTTTTTATGCTTTGAGATGGATAAGGGATAACTTATTTATACATTATAAAATATCAATTTATAGTGATTGTCTGTCTGGTCTCCAGGCCTTAAAAAATTACGAATGTAAAAACTCATTAGTTGTTGATATTAAATGTCTCTATGAAGAAATCACCAAAATTCATGTTGTGAAATTTAAATGGGTTAAGTCCCATGTTGGGATTTTGGGTAACGAAAGGGCCGATGTGTTGGCCAAGGAGGCAGTTTTGGGCGAATCCGGGGAGTGTTCCATTGTCCAACCATCTCCAGAAGAATTCTTGTAAATAAAATAAAACAATTTTATATTGATATGTGGAAAAAGGATTGGAATGAGTCTGATAGAAGAAAAAAGGATTACAGTTATAAGTTTGATCCCTACATATAATAAATGTATTTCATGCTGCCTGGATCTTAATCAAATTATCACAGGACATGGACGCTTCCCGGAGTACCTAAAGAGATTCGGTCTACAAGAAAATGAGTTATGTTATAATTGTGGAGTTACGGGTTCAGTTAAACATTTTGTAAATGAATGTGATTTAACTTATGATATAAGACAAAAGTTTGGACATATTAATACATTTACTGGAAAAAACACTGAATTTGAATTTGCTAGGGAATTAATGAATTTTATTAATAATAATCGTGTTAATGTCGGAATTTTGATTTAACATGTGTTTAGTGATTTTATGATAGAGCATGGTCTGTGTCTTGTGTTTTGTCCTTTTGTTTTGTTAGTTTCTAACTATTGTATTTATTTAATTATTATTATTTCTTCTCAGTCCATTAGGTTATAATGGCGTATTTTATTATTTTATTATTTTTTAATTATTTGTTATCGAAGCCTTAACATTTGCTGTTTCCCGGAATTAATTTCATATTAATTTATACTTAAAATTATTTCGATTTTTTAATTTTGAAAACTTTTACTTGTTCTTTTTATTTTCTGCCTTTTTAAAGGGAACATGGCTGGGCTGCTGGATGTTCTCGTTTGTGGTTTTAACTTAACGCTCCCCTGGAAAAGTCATAAAATCACATCGATTAGGTGGATAGGGGGCTGCGCCTCTTTCTGTACCCCCTTGACCACCCTCGCTACGCCACTGTCTACACCCAGTTCTCTATATATCTTTTAGTTTTGGTAAGGTCTATATGCTACCACATACAAATACCAATTATATTATGCAGTTTTTTTTAAATATTTTATTGATGAAAATAATAACACTAATTTATAATCAACTAATAAAATCTTACAAACATAACTATGATAAATTGCATACTTATTACGATCTTAAATTAATCAACAATTCAGCACATATATTTTCTGTCATTCTCAAAGATTTAAACTAAAACCGTACTGAGTAAAAGTGGCAAGGTGAAAAAGAAACTTACACTTGTATGAATATAAATGCACTAACATAAATGAATACGTTTACAGTAATATTCAAATGTAAAATGGCTATTAATAATGTATTTCACAAAATAACATATACACAATCATATAAATATGTTATTAAATATTCTTACATTCTTTTAAAAATAAATTTGGTAGTCAGATTTCTGTTCACAATATCCAGATAATCTAGCATTAGATTTAAACATGCAATTTATAATGAATTATAATCTCTGAAATTTTACACCTTAAATATCTGGTAAGAAAGACTGATAACTTACATGCAGTAGAAAAGTACCCAATTTTGCACATAAATTGTAAATCAGTCCTCTGAAAGACTGAAATAAACATTAACATTTTGCTTTGACAAACTACACGTTGTATAAATTTTTATTACATTCACAGCGTTTCTTCTTCATGAAATAATTTGTGATTATATTCATAGCCTTTCTTCTTTATTAATAAAGATAGCAAAATAAATTGTATTTGTGCAAATAGCTGCCTTATCTAGACAACAAGGTAGTATCCAAAACCTTAAAACACATAGAGAATCACATTGAAACTGAAGAAAAGTTCTACTACTGATTGAAATGTTCTACGATTTGGCTCAAGAACATAAATTCCAGATGAATAAAAATGAGTACATATTTATAACATTTAAATATATACAATTTTTTAAAAAATAGATGCAGTATTATAATCAATCACTGCAAACACTGGTATCTAACATAAGCATGGAAGTTTTGTAATTTCTTTTCCTCTACTTTTGTATTTGATTGTATCAAAATGATAATGAGTTTTTCCTAATTGAAACTGTTTATCGGACAAAATAGAGCTTTTAATTAACACCTATTTAGCTGCATCAGGTCAGTCATTCTTAAAAATACTTTTAGAAAGGCAGCCATGCCACTCAATGCATTAAAAATGTCCCCAGAATAATTCCCTTCCTTTAGGAGAAAATGGTATTTATCAAATTTGAATACTTTTATGATGCTATATTTTACATGGAAGTTCGCGTTTTTCCTTTTAACAGTAGAAACAACAGTCATCTTCTCTGACATACATATGGTACTTTAAGAAAAAGAAATGGCACACTCATGTGTCAAGATAAATTGAAACTAGCAAATTAAATGGGGCCATTCCACATGTTTTCTTAATCTGTTCATTCAAGTTTACTTACTCCTGTGATAAGGAGAATGGTTTAAAAGGAATGAGAATGATTTTAAAATATGTCTACTCCATTGTGATAAATCATCTTAAGGAACTAATAAAAACTGGCTTTCAGGACTGCTTCCAATAGCTTTATAAAAAACAATAAAATAGCGTTTTTTGGAGAGAACGCCTCTTTGGAGAAATATCGTTTAACAAATAAAATTACCAGAATGCTTCAGAGCTATTTTATGTATGTTATATAATTATAACAAAAGAGTTAAAATGCACTGAAATTATTAAATTTTAGAATTTTTAAAATGATAAGAAAACTACCTTATTGTATAATGAATTTCGTAAAAGTGAAATGAAATAATCTAAGGCATGCAGGCTTATTCAGATGTACACATAAAATATATAATCCTCCCTCCCCCCCCAAAAAAAGCATAAATTTTTTCCTCATATTTCAAGATATTTTAAATACCTAAATTATAAAACATTAAGAATGATAACAAATAAGAATGAAAGAATGCAGGTTCTTCTGCAGTGAATTTATCCTAAACATACTATATTCTGAGCAAACATTTCCCTTCAGATATTTATATAGTAAATACACACATAAGTAGTTATTTACATCTACTACTTTTTAAGAACAAAAAAGTTTGCATAGACCTGGTACTTTCTATAAAGCAAAATGGAAACTGGTACTTTCTATAAAGCATCTTACATAAAGAATTCTGTTGTATTGAGAAATCTTATTAAGTTCTATTATTCATTAAAGTTCATTTTGACTATGAGACATTAATTTAAGGAAATATGAAAAGCGTCATAGATCAGAATTAAGAATGAGGCCAATTATAGTGTAGAAGACTCTTTTTTTTTCCCCTTTGGCAGGTACAGTTTTCAGTCTTACTCATATTTCATAGAATTGTGTATAATTTTGAATACATGCAAAGAAAGATTAGAAAAACACACAGAATGGTTCACAGCAAACATCCATGCTAAAATATGCTAAAATTAACATATATATCCACATTAAAACTAACATACATATAAATCCACTTTTAATTCAAAAACCTTAGTTAGAAATAAAATTATACATGACATAATTTTCTTTCCGGTCAAAACATACTGATTGTCATATCAGACATATTACTGATCGGAAGATTCTCTGAAATTGCATTCAAACCTCCTACCCCTCCAAATTAAAAAAAGGTTTTGGCTGAATAAAATATATGCCTCTCTGCATTAACTATCTACTGTCATAAAATTGAAGCTGCTTTAACATAAATATTAAGGATTAAAATTTTATCATGTTTAATGAAAATAAATGTTATAATTTTGGTGTATTTTGCGAAACTAGAAAAACAAATTTTCAATATCTGTATTCACAAATATAAGGTTAAAAACTGCATTTTAACATAAAACCACAGTCTAAAAATGCTTTTTTTGCAGCTCACATTTCTTCTCAGATGCCTAATTAAAAATTAAATAGATTACAGTATAAGCATTTGGTGCATTATAATTCTCAGTTCTGAAAGCATAAGAAATGGAACATACATTTGATTTCTTGGTGAGAATACAATTTTACAATGATCTCACAAAAATATATTTGCTTTAAAAGTATACAAAAGTATTACACAAAAGTTTATGATACAAAAAATTATTTTAAAAAACATATGAACTTTTCTCTTTTTTTGCTTTACTTTGCTGGAAATTTAACGGCAGTTTTGAAAGTTTAAAGCAATGTCCATAATAATATAAAATTCAAAACAAAACCAAAATGAAAACAGTAATTACAATAATGCTTGATTTTGATAATAAACTGGAACCATGATTGAAATCCCCATCAACAGGAACGTATTCAGTTTTTTCAAGCAACCAATGAAGTCCTCGTTCCCTGCTTTGTCTTCTAAGTTCTATTCCAACAGTATTTCTCGTTTTCATATTATACCAATTTAACCATTCTTTCTATTGGATGGGGAAAAAAATCCGCTGATTTAGAAATTACGTATATCCAGTCATGTACATTTTAATTTTTAGAGTATATCAATACATCCATAACTCATTTTATGTAGTAAACTTCTGATAACCAAATACCTCATAAAAATAAATAAAATCCAGAAAACTGCACGATAAATAGACAATAATTTTAACTATTTGTACCAAAATGAAACTGGTTCATGGCAAGCGGAGAGGAGAATCCTAAGTTTAAAATTCCATCAGTTTTCAGTATTACTTTATGTATACAAAATACACAGTCCAGTCACATAAATGTGACCACCAACTACTTTCGATGTCAACGTGAAATAATCAATCACAAAAGGCAGGTGGCAGCACACTGTCTATATAAAGGGTGTCGGAGAGAGTCAGAAAACATGAAGGTTACATAACTTACCTCATTACTTTCTTACCTATTTTTTCTTCTATACTACTGAATATATAGCATTAAATGCACATTATGCCATAACTCCCCACAATGCGAAATGGGTTACTTTCGGTTGGAATTCGGGCATCTGCAATGATCTGAATGATTCGGGCATCTGAATTCGGGCATCCAAAAAGTTTTTTTTTTTTATATATATAATTTATGTTCAGTGTTCTGTGAATTTGTGATGCTGAGTATATGTATAAAAAAGCCTTCGTTTTTATTTCTTTAAATTGTAAAACTTATTTTGATCTAATGTGCATAACATCTGGCCCTTTTACCCCTTGCTTGCCACAACTTTGTACTTGCTTTTCAGCGACTACTCATCATCTTCGTTCAATCAGCGCAGCGGCAGCAGATGTGGAGCGGAATTCATCGACTGACGACTTCTTCACAACTTATTCATCCTTCTATACCATATGGCCAGCTTATTTCATCGTCCACTCTACGATTATGCCTAATTGCCATGTTTCTTGCGTATAATTGCTGTGCTTATTACTTATCCTTCAGAAACTTTAATTCTACGACTCTTCCAGTTCTGAATTCCATTCATGCTTATGGTACATTTCAAGATCGAAAATCGTCAACAGTGGTTACTCTGGGATGGCGCAACCGCACGGGTGCCCGCTTATACGAACTGTGTTCGTCTGAGTCGTAGGATCTGTTATCCGAACAGAGATGCCAGTTTCTAGAACAAATGGACAAATCATGGGCCATGGGTGGAAAGGGACAAGTCGTGAGATTCATGTACCGAAAGCCATTCCCTAGCAGACATCTGCCAAGCCATCTGTTTGACCAAAACTCCCTGCCTTATGTCACTAAAAGAGATGAGTCGATTCGACAAATGAACTGTAGACTTGGCTGTATAATATCTACTGTAATATCTCGTTCCCTTTTACAGCCACATGACTAGGAACCCAGCAGTAAAGGATGTCATGCCCACGGCTTCTTAATTTAAGATTCAAACTAAGATTCAGATGTCAACAATGACGGGATTCTGTGCATTATAACATGATTCTAAAGATTTCAAAGCACTAAAGAAGTCTCTATACATTACAAACTTTCTCTGACGAAGCTTAGAAGTAAATGAAAGCGAATAATTATAGCATTTAATTCTGAGGTAAGGACTGAGCAGTTGGGTGCAGCGAAAAACGTTTTCTTGAAATTGATATTGCCCGAGTCATTCTATGGTTCCAAATGAGCTAGAACAAATTATGTTCAAATTTCAGCTCAAAATATTGACATCTTGAGGTTCCACACCTATTAGATCTTACTAACTGAGATTGATCTTGAGATCCTATTGATGAACCTGGCGACTTATCGCACAGGCGTAAAATAATAGCACAGAAGAAGGTTGATGAGATAAGGTCGCATACAAGTTCTTTGTCTAGCATGAAGGATTTCAGAATGCAATAGTGCCTATTTCAGTACATAGGTGAAATCCTGTTACAATGAGGTGCCTTTGTTAATGATTCCGGTTGCAGCCTCAACGGTCACTCCAAGGGACAAAGAGATAAAACAAGTCTTTTCATCAGAGTCAGAATGTGGACACTTTTGTTATGTACGAGTGAAGGAATCTTCTGCCCCCCACCTTTCCGTAGGTCACATAAATAGTTGTAATCAATACTACATAGAAGTATTTAGTCCTTTCTAGTACATCAAGAGATCTACGAATTATTTCTAAAGAAAGTTCTTCATACATGGAAAGTCACTATTATCATGGTGAGAAATGGGTTCCACGATTTTGTGCTGTCTTCATCACACTTTCACTCGAACCTTCCCCAAAATACGATCTAACTAGCCAAAAAATGAGCTCCAGTCAACAGAGATTTAGTTTTGATGAAGATGGCACTAGATATGGCACAGTGAACAACGTGGGCACACATACTGAAGGGGGGAGGTTTCATAGCAAAGGGAACACAAAATGCGTCATTACATTCTTTTAACATACTGGTGTTACATGGGATCAGTAATTATATCAGAAAGTAATATGTGTAGCTACAGCTCTCCTATTTATGGTATGTGGAGATAATGAGAGTCAATGCTAAGTGCACAATCAATAGCTTACCTTTGTCATTATTTGTCTCTGAAAGCGGATACAACCATCTTTAATAAATTTAAAGCAGAGACTTGATAGAGTTAATCTCATGATTACAACCATTTTCTTGACATAACGACCTATCTAAATTGACTTTTACTCATTTTTGTCAGCTATTTCACTCTGATGCACTGCCCAGAATTTAGTCTATTTACACAGTTCATGAGGTGAGCATATTTCTACTCTACGCTTAAAGAGATGGTTTCTTATATAGTTATTCTTAACTGATTGGTTTAACACAAGTATGGAACATTTACTATGCAACTGACATCTCCCAAAAAGTTCGGGTACATTGTAAAATATGATATATAGAAATAAGACTTTTTCATATCATGATGTTCTTTTTAAAAAATCTTCTGTCATTCAATACATTGTAATCTATAACAATTAATTTTCACTTTAGTAAAAGGAAAGATCAAACTTATAATTAAAGAAATAAATGATATACCTGCAATACCATCATCATCATCATCAACAACTATTATGTTTTATCCTCCATGTTAATTATTATTTAGAGCACATAACGAACCACAGTGGTACAGTTATAATTTATTGAAATTTAATTAATGAATGCATAAAATTATTCAATAATTTAAAAACTGTCAAGATAAAATAATTTTCCTAAAAATTTCAGAACACATACTTGTAAGGATTTATTTTTATTGTAAATAACCAATTTTATTTAATTTCACATTAGTTCCTATAAGCCTTCCTTTCTTTAATTGTCAATGCCAGAATATTTAAATTTGGTAGCGAGCGTGAAGGAATGCAAATTCTACCTTGTGGAGAAAAAGTTTAAATACTGACTTTTAGAAGGAAAGTTACAGCGAGTTAGGCTATTTCCATTACCTCTGTTGCGTGAGCTTGTACTCCCGAAGTTATTGCTGGTTTAAACATGGCATAACAGCATTTCCTTTGCTGCCACTAGTTTCGACGCGGTTTTAAGTAACAGGAATTATCTGAGCCTTGTAGCGAATTTCTACTACTTGTGAACATCTTCGAATTTTTAGTTCTGTGACTTCAATTACCGCCCCGTAGTGTGTTAGCGTCGAGTTGACGCATTGTAAATTTTAAAGAGTTTAATAAAGGGTACTTTTAACCCTTCTCCTGTGCAGTAACTACACATAAAATTGTCACTGAGAAGATAAGTAAGTAGACCCTACGTACTAATAGAATTTTCCTAAAATAAAGTATGTAATACAGGGTGTGAATCAGAAAATTCAAGACTGGTTCATTTCTGAGTAGGGGAGCGCTCGTGGACCGGTTCTGCAGGGTGGGGGAAGTAGTGGGGGGGTCTCAGGGAACGAACTAACGCTGCAGCAGTTGCCTCCGGAATCCTGGAGAGTGTGCATCGCTTGCAGCGTGAATGCGTGCCATTGACCTCGGTCGAAAAGTGGGAGAGGCGAGAATAGAGCAGCACTTGGAGCAACGTTATGCGATTAAGTTTTGCGTGCGACTGAACAAAACCGCCACGGAGACTATCGGTATGATTCAAGAGGCCTTTAAGGAAGAAGCCATGTCCCGTGCAATGGTTTTCATGAGGCCCAAACGTTTCAAAGATGGCCGCGGGAATGTTGAAGACGACGATCGCTCTGGGAGGCCATCATCAAGCCGAACAGATCAAAATGTGGAGAGAGTGCGGGAACTTTTAAACAATGACCGTCTTAGTACTAGATTAATTGCCGATAAACTGGGACTTAGTCAGAGTACGGTGTGGAGGATTGTGACGGAGAATTTGATGATGCGAAAAGTGTGTGCCAAACTGGTGCCAAAACTTTTGTCGGTGGATCATAAGAAACGGCGCATGACTGTTTGTCAGAAAATGCTCCAACGGTTGAAATGTTGATCCGAACCTTCCGGAGAAAGTGGTTACTGGTGATGAGACCTGGGTCTACGAGTACGATCCTGAGTCGAAGCGTCAAAGCTCAGAATGGCACACTGCTTCCTCGCCGAAGCCCAAGAAAGCTCGCATGAGCAAGTCGCGTGTGAAGTGCATGCTGATTGTTTTTTATGGTAAAGGAATGATTCACAAGGAGTTTATTGCTCGTGGACAGACTGCCATAGGTGACGTTTACGCTGGAGCGCTCTGCCGCTTGAGGGATGTATTCCGCCGCGTCCGCCCGGCGATCAAGGGCGATTAGATCCTCCACCACGACAACGCCCCGCCGAAGTTTTTATCAAGTTCAACGTGACAACACTGCCGCAGCCACCCTACAGCCCCGACTTGGCTCCAAGTGACGTTTTCCTCTTCCCCCGAATCAAGACAGGCCTAAAAGGGAAGCGATTCGACTCCATCGACGCCATCTAGCAGGCTTTGATGAGAGCCCTTGACAGCATGACGCCCGAGGCCTTCCAGAAGGGATAGGAACAGTGGAAGACGGCGCTGGCAGCGCTGTGTTCATTCTGAAGGATCATATTTTGAAGAATTTTAGTCCGCTGTACTTAAATGTCCAATAAATTTCTAGTTCTGAGGTAAGTCTTGAAACTTTTGAATCACACCCTGTATATCAACAGTATGAAGTACTATTAACAAGTAATAACAGTTACAGTTACAGCCGGAAAAAAAGTATGATTAATGAAACTAATTTTCTAAAAATACCATCACACAAAAGACGAAAAATTACCTGTTTTTTATTAAGAAGTTGTAAATTAATCAGCTTTGGTTCAAACGGTACGAAAGATACAGGTTCAAATGTAAAGAATTTCTGGTCGTTAAAGTGATACTGAAAAAAAAAAAAAAAAAAGTTATATTACTAAAGAAAATATAGCGCATATTTCATGAAAAGATAAAAATGTGAAATATTAAGCAAATCAAAGGTATGCAATCTAATAACATACAGATATAATTACTAAATAATATTATATTATCAGCGAACAAAAGAAATACATTATTTAATTAATATTATAATATATCCACATAACATAGCAGTTTTGTAAGAAATTTTTACATAGCCAATATAAGTAACATCTAATAAATTTCTTATTAGGATTTGGATAATATGATTTTGGTAAAGCATTCTAAGGATATATGCCTATGAGAAGTTATGCCTTTGTGAAAGATATTCTAAGGGAATCTGAAGTTAATTTATGTTACATACAAGGAAAATCATGAAAACCTCATATAACCAGCTTGTTCTACTGCCAGAAGTAGAAAGCTGGGCAAGCTACCAGCGCTTTGCTCTTCAGCCAAAAAATCAGCTCAAACAATACAGCATATTTTATGTAGCATATTATTAATAAAATTTAAATCTGTATGCATATGATTTTGTTCCATCATGAGATGAAAGTATGACGATCAGTAATATTTTGGGCCTATCTGACCCAAAATGTTGATTTTGAGTATTTAAAGTTTTATATTATGAAAATATGAGAAGGCTAGTATAAAAAATTATGCATTTAAAATTATTTGTCAGATAAAAATGTTGCGAAGAAGACCGATGAATTTAACGATAATCCTTTTTCATAACAAAATGGTTGCCCTTTTCTCTCTTTTCAAAAGCATCATATATATATAACCTTGTTAATATCATCCAAAAAAACTGCCTTGCTATGTACTTTAATCCAATCCTCACAAGGAAAAAGAGAAATATTCTTAGGGAGAAGAGGAGGTAAAGAAGACCTTCTTCAGGTTACGATGTGCACTCATTAGTGACTACATATGAAAAAAAAAAAAAAAAAAAAAAAAAAGACATTTATTACTCAGGTGGACAAACTCACCAATTTCATTCATGAAGTATAGCCGCAAGTAAGCAATACATTTTCTGCCATTCTTCAAAATCATTCCCTTATGTTCTAGAGTGTTTCTTTCTATCTTTTATATAAGACTTTTATTTTTACAGAAAACACTTCAAACAGTTTGAAGCATTTAACTTTCTAGTGGACACATTCATAACATCCCTACACAATGTAATATTGAAATGGATTTAGTCTCATGTTAACTGTTTCTAGAAATTTACATGGATAAATTTTTAAAAATTAAGAAAGAAAATATTAATGTACAGTTTTATTTATTATTCCTTACAATCAGGGATGTCGGCAGACATTTTGTTACCGACTGCAATCTCTGTTACTAATAAATTCTGCCGCTCAGTATCTCGATAAATTCCAAACATTTTGTCACTCTTAATTTTTCCCATTTGGTGCGGCTGCGATGGTTTCAATGTCTTTGGTGCAGGCCCTGTTCACTATGCACAGCCATACCTCCGTTAATGAGCAATTTCTCAGTTCCCAAATGTTCAGTAGGTGATTCGAAGATAGTAGGAGTAGCAAACGTGTTCAGTAGGAGAACAAACACTCCCTGATAATGGAAAGAAACACTTTGGTCACCTAAGCACCCAATAATTGCAATTTAATTACAGTAAATTGTTACAGCAAAAAATCATCTTAGAATTTAATTATCTATCAGTGGAAAATGATATTACCCTCAAATGGATCTGCTGACTTTTTGCAATATAGAATGTCTGCCAACAACAAAAAATCTGGAACGTGCTGCAAACGTCATGAAATCAAAATTTTTTATTGAAATCTGCTTAACTTGTCATCCTATTTCCCCATCTAAGTATGATAAATTTAAGAATTTAACCATGTATATATTTTCTCTTTTTCTTTGTACATTGCTTAGTTAGATACTTGAAATATTTCAAAGCTTATAGGTTAATCAACAACTAATTTTCACCTTTTTCCTGGTATGATTGAAAAATAACGTTATAATAAAAACTACGTAGAAAGCAATTACAAAAAGATAGTTGTTGCATGTAAATAGTATGGCATGAAGATAAAATCATTAAATTTATGGAGTTTGGAGATTTACAGGGGTGCGAAAGTAGTGGAAACAGTTGTCATCCCTGGCAGCTAAAACAGCCCTTACCCTGTAAGGCATGGAGTCAAATTGGACTTGGGTGACAGAAACGGGCAACTCATTCCATGCTGCTTCAAGTCTATGCCACACTTGACCGTATTAGCTGGAAAGGGGTGGCGGACCAGTCTCTCAGCAATCCATGACGAAATGTTTTCAATGGGTGACAGATCTGGAGACCAGACAGGCCAGGGCAGCAATCGAATACCCTGTGTATCGAAGAAGGTCTGAACACGACGCGCAACATGTGGCTTGCAGTATCTTGTTGGAACATGGCGTGTAGGGGCTTCGAAGATAGGGCAGACCCATTAAATGTAAGATGTCAGAAATGTACCGATCTGCGTTCAAATTGCCATCGATCTGAACTAGAGATGTGTACCTATGAGATGCCCAAACCATCACACCAGGTGCAGGGCTCCTATGCCCATATCGAATGCAAGCAGGCGACGGGCGGTCTCCTCGGACACTCCAGGCACGTAGTACGGCCATCAGAATACTGCATATAGAACCGCGACTCATCTGAAAAGGCGATATTGTGCCACTCCTGTGCCAGCTTTGTCATTTGGCGTAAGAGAGATGCCGCTGTCTCTTTCTATGCTGCATTGTCACGGGAAGACGAAGTAATGGTTGCCGTGTTGATAGTCCACGCTGCTGTAAACGTCGACGCACCGTACGAGCTGATAGTGGGGCGTGCTCCAAACACGCCCATTTCTCGACTAATGATCTGCGATGTGGTCGTACGGGTTTTGCACGGCTGACGTCACAATATGTCTGTCCTCTCAGGACGTTAGTCATGGGAGGGCGTTGAGATCCTGCATGCCGTTCAGTATGACTCTCAGCAACTCACTGATTCCATATACGCATGACAGTGGTTGGATCAGTGCAACGGGCAATATCAAGGAACAATTATCCACACTCTCAATTGGCAACGATCCTGCCTCTATCGAATTTCGACACTTGCTCGTAAGCATTTCCTCTTCTTATTCGAGGCATAACACGATATTTTGAGCAAACTCCAACCTTACAAAGCGCTTTCCGAATAAGTAATCTACTATACAACTTTTCTTTTATGCAGTGCTTCAGATATCACTTCTCCCTCCTGCGTCGTCTAAATGCATTGAAATACTAATCATTTGCATAGCTCAACTTCTTCCTTTCATGTAATTTTGACGTTCGACGGATAATTCCTTCCTTGTATTGCAATTTTAATGGCCAGCAGTGTACAAGTACCGACTTTCCAACAGAAATTCACTCTTTAAATTTATCCCAATTATATATTTGCTCTAACTATGTGATGATCTTCCTAACTGGAATCTACAGCATACATATATCTTATACATTAAGCAACATTAATATTTTAAGATATCATTTAAAATTGTATGATTAAATACTGCTTGAACAATTCTTCAACTACCTATGGCTCCAGTTCAAGAAATTAATTAGATAAGACAAGCTGTGACAATTTCTGTAATGATACCTTCTCGTAAAAAATACATGCGTATAAATCAGACCTTTGCGTAGAAAATTCCAATTATTATATTGTGCTTCCTCTTTCAAAACATTGGGTCTCTAATAAATAAAAATCTATCCTGGGGAGACAGAGTGAAAGCAAAAATATGTATCTTAAACCTCTAAGTTGTATTAAAGCATTTAGAAATCACACTGTTAGATTTTTCACATGCTTCTTATAGCACAACCAGAGGCCTCGGATACATAGCTAATGTAATAGGAGCTTGACTTTGTCTGTTACATGAACCCTCTGAAAGAAGTTATGTTATTCAAGTAAATATTAGTTCATGGCAGTCATTGCTTTCAAATTCTCTAAGGAATTTGATCATGCTTTGTGATATTTGAAATCTCTTTCACTAAAACACTGTCAGTAATCTTATATCATAGTCCAAGGATCCCAAACCTTTTTATATCTTCAACCACATTCTAGAATATCAGTGCGGCAGTGGGCACACTAATTTTTTGAAGAAAAATTTATAGGGCTGGTATAGTTAATAATATACATAATTATAAAAAGAAATCAAAAATATAATTTTAAGATGAAAAATTATTTATTGTATTATTATATAAAACAAATAACTACCAGATAATATAGACAAAAGTACAAACCCTTTGATATTCTTACAAGTCATTGGAGGAAAAAATATTTATAAAAATTGTAATTCTTACAGTTAATGTGATCTTTGGCATTGCATTCCATTGGCCACTGTTTCATAATTAGAAGTATGATAACATTCCTGCTCATAAACAATCATCAAGATGTTCAACTGTAAGCTGAAGATCTATAACTTGATTTTATGCTTTCATTGCTCAGAAAAATTATTCACACAAGTATGTGGAACTAAAATGGTTTTGTCTTGTATGATGCTCTTTTTAAGAATGAAAATCCATTTCTGTCAGCCTGAAGTTCTCATCTGATATACTGGATTTTAAGACAATGTCATTTTGAAGATTCAAAATGTCTTCTTTCATTCTTGTTTGAATAAACTCTGCAATGTATGCAGATATTTTGATTACATTTATTTGGTAAGTAAAAGGACTGATGAAAATGGTTATCATTCGTTCAGTAATATTAAACTGTTGAAATCGTTTTCCAAACTGGTCCTGCAGTAACTGAAGTTTGGTAACAAATGACGACAAGTCAATTTGAGCTTCGCCTATCATTTTTCTCATACTTGGGAAGTGCACAACTGACTGATACTCATAAAACCAGTTTATCTTTAAACGACTTAACAGACCATATCTTCTTTTCCCTACAGCTCCAAATTTAAATAATTGAATTTCTCAGTTATGTCTTCGAGAAATCTATATGTACCAGCCAATGGAAGTCAGCAAAATTTTATTTTTGTTTGGAAATGA